TAGATGATCAGATGATCAGGTGTGTGCCTATGGACTAAGTATTAATCCAGGCTAGACAAGGGCAGCAAGACATCCACGGATGCAGAAGATTTCTCTCAAAGCAGGGGGGGTGAGGTTCTGAGCCTCACCTCTGTTGATCCCCAATTTCTCACCTGATGGCCCCCCTGCGACTGTGCCTGTCTTAGGTTGTTCCTCCCTTGAGGAATCTTACCCGTCTCTGGCTAACCAGTCATCTTCCGGGGCCATACAGGGAAATGTAAAGTTGGTAAGTGAGAGAGAAGCCATATTGTTTGAAAAGGTTAGCTTTTTACTTCTTTGCAGATTTATGCCCTGTGGCTTCTATGCCCAGCACTTGTCTCGAGGTATCTTTACCACCTGGAGGAATTATGATACTCGGTAAATTCGATATGAGGCACGAATTCTATTTAAGGGTTGTAATTAGGAAGGAAGAAGAAAAGCTATAGAGGTAGCATATGGAAGAAAACATGGGAGGATTGATTATTTCTTTGACATATCTTCTTGTAGAGTACCTTAAGCATGTATAGGTTTTAAACTACCAACTAATTTGTGCTCACATATTAACATAATAGGAATACGGTGACATAAACAAAGCAAATCTATAATTACCATCCATCTCCAGTGAAGCCAAGAAAACCATTTAGGCACCCTAGGCATTTGCATCACCTGACATCTTTTTTTCTCAAGTTCTTGAATTGTTTTTCAGGAGGTTAGGATGGTATAGTGAATTAGAAAAACAGACAGAAAAAATCTCAGTAGTTCTGTATTCTTGAACCATTCATTCTCTGATAGTGAGAAGGGGTTGTTTTGCTTGTTTTTAAAGAATTTAGCCAATGAGTGTAGACTAGGCTAAGTCACAGGCCAGCCCGCAGCTCCTCCAGCCTCATCTCCCAGAACAGGGGCCTTCCTCTGTTCTGTCCCAGGCTTGTCTCTCTGCCTGTACTTTTGAATGTTCACCTCCTTTTTTCTCCTAGGCATACTTTCAAAATTTATTCAAGCCCTTCTCTTTTTAAATACATTTCCCAGGGTCTATGTTTGCCTTGAGCTTTTATGATATTGAAGAGGCAGAGCATGTTTTTCTCCTTTCTTGTTTCCCTCTGTCTCCTTTCATTCACAGGTAGGAGCCTGTACAGGGACAGTTTACAGTCATGCCCTTCACTTTCATTTTGTCCAATGGTTGCAGCACAGATCACACATATCTCAAATGCTAACTGTAGTGGACCCTCTTCAGAATTTATTTTTCCTCTCTGCATTGTTAATGAATTCCTTCTTGAAACTCTGTCCCCCTTTGGCTTTTTAGTCACCAACTCCTGCTTTTTCTCCTTTCTCTGGATCATTTCTTCTTGGTCACCTTGGCTAATTTTTTTTTCATTATATGTTGGTGCTCTCCAGACACTTGACTACCTCTGTCTTGTCCCTCATGATTTTCCTGAATAAATAAACTAATCTCTGATTTCAACAACCACCTGTATGCGATGAACCCTCAGGCCTCTCTCCTGAGCTCCTGAACTATAAATGGAGCTGTTTTCTGGACTGTACTCATCCCAAACTGAGCCCATCTAAAACCCCCCACCTACTCCTCTTTTCACATTCCTTGAGTGGCACCCCATCTCCAAACCAGACTACCCCTCTCAAATCTGTCACCCCACTCACAGCCTTGAGTCAACTCCCATTTCCTTCCATGAGCATTGCCCCAACTTCCAAGTAGGCCCCAACTCTCCTTCCTCACCTCTCTAAATTACCCTCCAAAATGAAGCCAAAGGGATCTTATACACAAACATCAGCATATTTCTACTGTGTTTAAAACTTTGCAGAGGTTCCTGCTACCTTTCACAGGATGAGAATCTAGACTATTATAGAATCTAGCATACAGGTCTCCTTAATCTAGCTCTTCCCACTTTCCAGCTGAATAGAACTGCTCTTGCCCTGGACAGCTCAGGATTTTCCCAGGCTCTGGGCCACCTTGCTCTTCATCCAGAGTACATTCCCATCAGCTTGGCATGCTCTGACTCACTTTCTAAGTCAATGCTCAATTCATTCTTCTATGAATCCTTTCTTAACATTTCAGACCTTCTATCTTCTACACTACAGATATTTTTTTGGAATTTCCAGTGTGCCTATAGAGATCAATCTGAGTGATATGTTTACTGTTTCTAATATTGCATATGTCTGGCTCCCTCTGTTAAACTGATAAGCCCTTTAAAGTAGAGGCCAAATTGATGTGGCTTTTGTTTCTCTACTGTCTTGCACTCTACCTGACACAGAGCTTAAGAATGAATAAGTGAGTGAGTAGATCCTAGAAAATTGTGCAAATTTCAACATAGTTTTTGTAGTATGACCTTCTTAGTAGTACTCTGAATTTCTGAATTCTGTACCAGCATTGCGAGAAAAATACAGCATGAAATACCTGGGACAAACTTAAACTGAGAAGTTATTCTTTATTTATCTGACATTCAATTTAACTGGGCATCTGGTATTTTTATTTGTTAAATCTGGCAATCCTACCTCCAAGGCTGTTTTGACTTTAAATCCCATATTAAATTGGTTAAATGGTGGGTGTGCCTCAGAGTATTTTTATGCTTAGTTCAAAGAATCATTATTTGGTTCTCCTTCAACTGAAAAGAGAGAGTGCAGAGTACTTTGAAATGTTGGAACCGAGGAAATGTAGAACTCGGCTGAGCAGCCAGAGGATGCAAATACTATGTTGATACCAACTGTGCATGTTGTAAAAAATAGACTTGTCTACTTCCTTTGCTCACTATTGAGTTTCTTGATGGGTTTTCCTCTCCCTTAGCTTGTGATCAATCGTGTAAGAGTTGTGGCCCCAATAGTCCCAGATGTCTTACCTGTATTGAGAAGACAGTGTTGCATGATGGGAAATGCATTTCCGAATGCCCGGGTGGGTACTATGCTGATGCCACTGGAAGATGCAAAGGTAAGACATGGGTCATCGATGCCATCATCATCGTCGTCATCATCATTATCAAAAAGTACTTAACATATGTTCAGCTATACTTGGTGCTATATGCTGCTTGCTTATTTAGGAATTTGTATAATGGTGGAAAAATGTCAAATTAAAAATATTAAGTTTTCATTATAGAGCCTGTGTTGTATTTGGTATTTCACTGGGGGATATGGGTGGATTCTGAAGAACTAGAATGATTAAATAAAAGATTTAGGCATATTGACACGGGAAAGGCAGTATGTACAAGAAGACAAGTAATGACTCTATAGTATCTGACTATGCTGATGGGCAGTGACTGTAATGGGGCATGTGTGGGGACTTGATAATAGGGGGAGTCTAGTAACCATCATGTTGTTCAAGTAATCGTACATTCACGATACCAAAAAAAAAAGATTTAGGCATATTGATCATCATTAGAGATCATTTGGTCATTTGAAAATGCTAAGAACATCTTTAAGATCTTCATACAATCATTGTATACTATAAACCATCACTAACTCAGGTTGTAGGTGTGACAGAATCATTCCTTAGATGGCAGTTAAGAATCTGTATATATATAATATACATACATACAACAAAAAATAAAAATAAAAAGTAAACCAAGTTTGATGACTTGTAAAGCTGAAGTCTGTATCTATTGAAGATCTTATATGATCTTATATACTATTTATATATTGTTTCTTTTAGGCTTCTACAACTCAAACTATGCAACATTCCCACTGAAGACTTTATAAGCTTCTGCTTCTATGTGCTTGACCTGTGTCTTTCCTTGCAGGCAACTCTAGGAAACTGCTGCTGCCTGGGACACCTTGATTCCCCTTCTTCTCCCCCAAACAAGCACACATATTCCCTCTTCTACCTATAGTGTCTGTTAGTGGCAGAATATTTAGACCTGTCCCATAGTCTAATCTTATAAATCTCCCTTGTCTGCCAAACTGTTTACTTACCAAATGTTCATCCCTTTTCTTCAGCATCCTGCCCCTAAGGTTTTCATCCTATCTCCATATTCTCCTCTCCCAGCTCCTGACATTGTCCTCTGGACAGCATATCATTCCTGTGCCTTAGGATAGGCCAAGGCACTCTCTGCCTCTAGAGTCAGAGATATCTCACTGTTGCCATCCAGGACCAAGGCAGTGGAGATGTGTGCCTGACATTGTCATATCTAGTGGTAAGACTATTTGACATAATTCTTACTTCAAATCTTAGAAGATCTAAGCTAGAAGTGTCTGAAATGATCATTGAATCCAACCTCTCACTGTGCATATGCCAAGGAAACTAGGCCTGAACAGACCCAGACTGGTTAAGGGCATAGATAAGGAGGTGGACAAGCTGATCAAAATGCCAGTGCTCTCAACACCCAGACCCATGAAACTTTGTCTCCTCTTCCCTATTCAGGTAGGGAGTTTTAGGTTTGGACAGACCTCAGGCTAAACCCAGCTCTGCTACCAATTAGCAGTGTAATCTTGGATGAATTTTTTAACTTCCCAAGACCTCAGTTTTCTCATCTGTAAGATGTGATTAATAATGCCGACCTCATGATGTTGCTGTGAAGATAAACAGTGGCAATATGTATAAAACACTTAATGTTACAAATATGAAATAAAGGTTAGCTAATAAATAATAAGTAGAATGTGGAGAAAAGGTGGAGAAAGGGGCAACGTGTGCAGTTCTGTCATACAGCCACCTACTATCACATCTTTTCCCTTGATGTGATGCGACAGCTGAAGGGGGCTTGAGAATGACAGGAGGAGGCATCCCAGCACACAGGCAGCCCAGCCAGGAAGTATGTTCCTTGTTCGCCTCGGCCCACTGTGCCCCTTCTCACTGTCTTCCTCAGTGTGTCATAACTCGTGTGCCAGCTGCTCTGGACCCACGGCCTCTCACTGTGTGGCCTGCATCCACCCCCAGGCTCTGCGTCAAGGCCGCTGTCTGCCCAGCTGTGGAGAGGGCTTCTACCCTGACCATGGGGTCTGCAAAGGTACCACTTTTGTCCTTCTTAAGAGACTTTCCCATCACAAGGAAAGGTTTCAACTACCTTTATAGCACAGCTTTTCCTCTAGTGTATATCATATGGCTGTGCATATATGCTTTCTTTTTCATTGCCAAGGAATAATCTGAAAAATCACATTTGAATATTTGTGAAGACTCCCCAAAGTTCATGATTTTTCTGGCCATCCTTGAGAAGCATGTCATTTCCTTTCCCATGCATGGAAACCAACCATCCTCCTATTTCCTCCTTTTTCTGTTCTCCTAACATCGCTAATGTTTTTCTTAGTCTTCATTTTGTTTTCCCTGAAGGACTTTTTCGGTTAATGATACTGCTGAGCAAACTGAGAGTTACTAGCAATGCCTCTGGGCTGAGTAAAATGAAAACTTTAAATAGCTGTTTGCCAACAAGGCTTTGGGCTCACTGAGAGGACAGTATCATCTGAGCCTTTTCAAACTAGAACATTGGGAACAAACATGTTAATTAAGTGAAATTAATTTTATTTATTTAAATGTAGGGCAGCTTGGAAAAGAATTTGAGAATAGTTAAAAAATGCATTTAAAGCAGGGCAGTTGCAACAAATATTCTGAAAAAGGAAATTATAAAGAATAGGAGAGTTAATTATGTCAAAATATACGGATGAAATAGTTCATACTCTTTGGCTCTGATTTTCACCCGTATCCAGGGAAAACAAGAAACTATGATGGATTGTCAAATTCTTATTGCTCTTCAAAAAGGTCCTTTTCCTTGTCTAGAAAAGCAGCCTTTCCTCACATAAATTCCAAGAGGAATTTGTTGCCTGGACGCCTATATAGTGGGTGGATGGATGACAGAATGGACAATAGCACAACAACATTTTTGCAAAAAATACAGTAATGGCCTCATATGAATGCTTCTTAAAATCTTCAATAGCAATTGAGAACATAATGTTAAATTGTCATTCAGTGACTGCACATCCCTGGAGAACCAAACCAATATTGTCTAGCTTACTGTTTTTTTCATGAGGTAGCCTTGCAGCCCTTACAAGACCAGGGAGGATATGACTAGTTAACATCACCCTCATTTTGTCTCTCTCAAATATTACATTGTTATCACCCTGTGCTTTGTATGTAGAGCACTAGAAAAACAATTTTCTCAAAGGATGTATCTGGTGGACTTTCTAACTGGTTTTGATTCAACTGGGGACAGTCCTTGGTTTCAGTGTGTATTGTTTTCTGCATTTTTATTCTGGTTGGCAGCTTGTCATTCCTCTTGCCTGAGCTGTTTGGGACCAGAGCCCTCTCACTGTGTCCAGTGTAAGGAGCCAGAGGAAGGACTGCAGGTTGAGCAGGTGTCTGGGGCAAACATCGCCTCTGGCAAGTGTCTGTCCCAGTGCAGAGCCCAGTTTTACTTGGAGAACACTGGGCTGTGTGAAGGTGAGTAAGCATGATTTGGAGAAACATCAGGTAGCTTCTAGTCTTACCTCTTGGGAGATCCTGTGAGGTGGGACCAAAGCCAGCAACCTTTGTTTTTGCATTAGAATGGTTCCAGGAAGCTTATGGATGGAGCATAAGACTGGCATGCAGAAGAGTGGCCCCCACTGCTGGCCTCCTTCCCTTTGTGAATAATAGATGATCTTGGAGAGCTAGTTCCCTTCACCCCCTATCCCCAAAGTTGCACTCTCAGAAGTTCCAGGCAGGAAGTCTTTCAGGGACAGCATGAGTAGGTAAGAGAGACCCTGAGCTCATTGTAGAACTCCATTTATTATTTTTTCTAATTTATTACTAGTCTGCATATGAATTGGTCCCTTCAGGGAAAAATCTGGACTTCCGTCAAAATTTAGAAGTGATTCCTGCCATTGTCTTAGCATATCATCTGCAGAGAATTGATGCCATCCTGAACAATTTGACTCAACAGCTGGGTCATCTATGAGTGGTTGAGGACGTGAAGGGGAGATAAATATATATGTAATTATATAATTTCTTGGGATGTAGGGGAGGCCTCTCTCTGCTCCTATGAGAAACTGCCTTGCTGTTGGGTGAATTATTTGATTCTCAAGTTACTTGAAAAGAAAATTCATTACTCTTACTCTTCATTGTACACATACGTTCATTCAAGGAAATTTTGAACTTAAAAGAAGAGAAGTAATCTGCCCACCATCTCACCTAAACCCAATTGTCCTTATCATTTTGCTGCAATATGGCTAAGTCTCTTTTCTTATGCATAGCTTCTAGTTTTTAGTTTTGCAACATAACTGTAAGCATGCTGAGGATTCACTTTTGTCTCGTACAAATCCACTTATTCAATGGCTTCACTTTTGCATTGGAATACACCCTCACATGGAAATGCTTGATTTTAAGATTAGTTTGAAAGAGTGTGGACACAGTGAATCATATGGCATAGTAGAAAGTATGCAGAATTGGAATACAGGGACTCCAGGCCAGACACTTAAGCTCGCTGAGGCTTTGTGTTCACAGCATGACAGTAGGGATAATTATCTTTCACACAGGCTTTTTGCCAGGATGGAGGAGCATAGGAGTGTGAAAGTGCTTGGTGAATTGTAAAGCCGCTAAATCTCAGTCCGTATACTCAGGTGTTCAGGAACAATACAGAGGCAACTGTCTGCTCCCTGGGCTGTGGCTGGCTCCAGAGAGTTTATGTGATGCCTGGAAATCAGGAGAAGGATCTTTACTCTCTCTGTCCATATATGCGTCACCCAAACTCTCTGTGGCCCCTTAAACTCTTGTGGCTCTGTTTCCACAACCACTTATGAAATCTGGGGTTTGTTGCATTGAATCCATGTCTTCCCAAAGCACCTCACCACACAGCCTTCCCCTGTGATCCCAGGGACATCAAAAGGACTTCCTCCCAGGCCACTCAGCATGGTTACCATCTTCCTACCATTCTGAACACTATATTAAAAATGAAACAGGGAATTTGGAGAGGGATCAGAAAGGAGAAACAAAAATGATTAACATTTTAAAAGTTCAGTTCTAAGTAAAAATCAGTGGTCAGGGTTATTCAGCCAGAAAATAAAGTTACTGTTGATTAGGCACACACCAGGAGCCAGACACTGTGAAGGGAGTGCCTTCATTGTTTTCTCACTTAGTCCAAAACCAGTGGGGTCAGTGGGACAACTGTTTTAGAGCAGAAGAAACTGAGGCTTGAGGAATTTAAGGCTGTAACTTGCTGAGTCATGTAGCGAGCACAGGGTCCTGCAGGCAACTAAATCAGTCTGACTGCAATATCCATGTTTTAAATCAGAATACTGCTATCTGTGGTCACTAGAGAAGAAAAGCACAGCATACTAATGGTTCAGGATTGGGACATCTTAAATTTAAGAAAGCAACCCTGACAAAGGGGAGTTTTCTGGGAATCCCTTTATGTAGACACCTTTTGAAAAGGATTAGAATGTAATCCGTCTGGAATGGTTTAATTGTTGTCCCATGTGAAAGGACTATATTGACCTCTTGAGTCCCTTAGAGTCATGTGATTTTTATGCTAGTTAACATAATATTATTAGGCACCACACATATAGCTGTCTACTCACATTTATTACCAAATCCCTGTGCAGTTTCTGCTAGGTAGATTGTTGTACTTAATTTATAAGTGATGAGAATGTGGCAGAAAGAGGTTAATTGAATTGCCCAAGATTCCACTGGGAAACTTGAGAGCAACCAGCAATTGTTTCCAACTCTATCTGAGTATTAAGTGTGTTGATTGATGTATTTCCTGTCACTCATGCTATGTCTCAGGAAACCTTTCTGCCTTCCCACAATCTGCTCCTATTTTGATTCTGTTGAAGTTTGTCTATATAGTCAGGCCTGTAGCTCTATGAGAAAGCACCAGTCTCTCCTCACACAGTCCCAGAATTACCTTTGCCTCTTTCCTGAACATTTAAAAAGGCTGAAATTTTTCTGTGTGTGTGCCATGGAGAGTTTATTTTACAGCACTTTTGATCTCAAGTGCTTTTCTATAAAGAAGAGAAAAACAACTGTTTCTGGAACTCTCCCTCTCCCTCTTCCTGAGACTGAAGCACAGAGTGATTGGAATACTGCAGTTGATGAAAGCAAGAGGCAGATGCATTACAGGAAGGAGCAGTTTACATAGAGTTTGAAGTGGTGTCAGAAATTGTCACAAAATTTTCTCCTCTGAGTTACATGATGAACCCAGAAATTATCTAAGGTAATTATGGAAGGTGAAGCAGAAATACTCAGCATATTTGACGACCATCCAAGTCTGTGACTGAAGGATGGAAAAATATAAAATTAACAACAGTGACCAAAGAGAACATTGAGTAGCTGAAGGACCGTTACTTTACTCATTCCTTCTGTGATGTTTATTGAGTGGGCCATGGGTGGCAGGCATTGTCTAGGCACTGGGGTGCACCTGTGAATGAGCCAGATGAAATTCTTGCCCTCATGGAATTTATATTCTGATGAGAGAAATAGATAAATAAATAAATGAGTAACAGCAGCAGCAACAAAATGCATGATATACCCTCGGCTAGTGAGAGGGGTCTGTGCCATGAAGGCCACGGTAAGGTCATGAGGGAGAAAGAGGTGGGCTGAGGTGCTCTTCAAAGTACAAGTGCTTTGCAAGGTGGGAATGGCTACCTGCATGTTGTTTGTACTGCATTTCTGGTTCATTCTCAGAAATGAACTTGGGTACATCAGAAGATGGAGCTTCGACATTATGCTTTTTTTCACATGGCCTCTGTGTTTTCAAAGTGTGACTAAGATTGCTGGTACAAAAGAGAGTCCGTTACTAATTATAAAAGATAATTTGGAGACATTTTCAGTAGTCAACCCAAATTGTGCATGTTTATTAAATACTAGTGTTTAGTATTAACTAAAACAAGTATTTTAGTAATTTTATCCAGAGTTCATCCCACATGTTTAACTGATTGCTTGCTAGTATTGACAGGTTCCAGTTTCTAAAAAAAAAACCCAAAAACAAAACCCACGAAAAACCCAAGAAGTGTCTGTCAGCTATTTGCACAAACAAAACAAATCAGTAAAACCCAAGCCCTCCAAAATGATATCAACAAACCACCCCCTCCTTTGTCTTCCATCCTCCCCCACTAGTTTTCTGTACCTCTGTGAAGTTGAAAGTCTAGCCAAGGCCTCCAGGCTGGGTGGGGAGCTAAGGGGCACAGCTGCAGGGCCCCCATTCCCATGATCATTTGTGCAGCTGGTGCTTCTGGGAGTTACTCAGTGGCTGTGCAGCCCTCGCAGAGTCGCTGGCAGCTTAGGGTGGGTGGGCAGGACAGAGGGCTTGGGGCTCTTGTCGCTGGCAGGCCTCACCTCTCTTCTTGGATGTGCTCAGGATCAGGCCAGGTTTCTCAACTCGGTCTCAGATTCTACTTCCACTCTTGTTGCAGATTTTTTTTTTCTTTTAAAGGATTCAATCATCTTGAAGGCTTAGCTTTTAGTTGAGGTCTTTCTGGACCAGAACCTCTTATAGGAATCTCCTAGGAATATTGTTAATATGGAGTTAGATTAAGTAGGCTTGGGGTGGGGTCTGAGTTTGTGTATTTATAACATGCTCCCAGGTGAGGCTGATGCTCCTGGTCCATGGACCATAGTTTGAGTAACAAAGCCTTTAATTAGAGAAGGAAAAGTATATTACTTTATCACTGGTATGCTTGGGTCAAATTAAAGCAGTATTTTTAATCCAGTTTTATTTCTTCTCATTACATGCATCATGCATATTACAGAAACTTTAAAAAATACAGATTACACATTCCAGAAACTTTTAAAATACAGATAAACAATAAAATAAAAACAGCTATTACTAGGTTACTCAAATTCAGCAAAAGAAATAAACAGGATTAGGAAATAAAAAATATTTAGCAAATAAAAAAATGAATTTTTTAGTATAACTATGTTCCAAAATGGCCTGAGATATTCTAAAATGTTATTCATTATTTATCTGAAATTCAAATTTAACTAGATGTCCTTTATCTTTTCTGTAAGTTCTACCTACAGCCCTTCAATCTTGAGATAGTCTTTTAAAATCTTTTGGCACACACATACACACATATATCTATATCACTTCATAGTTTATAAATTCCTTACCATAAGCATTTTATTGGAAATCCTGTGTGTTTACAGATGAAGAAAGTGAAGCTTAGAGGGAACCAACTAAAGAGTAATTTAGCAATGGGAGATCCTGGGCTGTAATACAGGGCATAGTTTTCTCAGAAAAATACTTCCTTCTTTCCAAGCCCAAATCTGTGTTCTTCATTTCACTCTAGAGCTTTACAGTTTAGTTTCAGGCCAGGCCATCTCAGTTAACGGTGAGGCTCAATCACCATGTCAACACTATGGTGGTGGAGACCAGGATGGGGTATGAACACAGTCGGGATGGTTGGAATTAGCCATGCAAGCGCTCTAGTTCCATGGAAAATGAATGGTGGATTCTTTCAGTTCCC